AATGGTAGACACTAAAGTCTGCAGAATATGTCATTTGTAATAAATTTTCTAAATAACTTCAGTGACCACCTGGATGGCATTGGTGGCAAAGTAGCTGCTCTGGTTACAGATGGGACGCGGTGAAGGAGGGTCTTCCTCTCCTCAATCATACTCAGATCTGTGTTCTGCTTTCTGATTAATGGCACCTGCTCATCATAATGCTATATGCTGGAATCTGCATACCAATGATCCCAGTCGCCTATCGATTCACCCCTCATCTTCTTCCCCACACACACCCTGGAGACAGAAACACACACACACACACCCCTACACACCCCTACACACACTCATCCCCTCTCTCCCCCTCCCCCGACCACTGTCATTATAAAAGTCAGCAGCTGCTGCATGCATTGATCATAAATCATAATTGCTTGTCCATTTTTCCCCACTTGTTTAATGTTGCTGTCAGGGACAGTGGGGGGGGGGGATAAAAAGTTTAGTGAGACTCAGAAAGATGAGAAATACAAAGAACTGGAGAAAGAGGATATAATGGTGAAAAAAATAGATCAAACAAAAGTAGGCTGTTTGCCTTTTAAGAATGGGTTTGCTGTAAAACAGTCTGCAAGTGGTCATTAGAGGAACTGCAGTTTAAGACATAACTATTGTGGCTGCTGTTCTGAGAAACATGTTGGAAGTGATTTTTTTTTTCTTAGCTTTTGCAGATAAACTGCCAAACACCTTGGCTTGTTTGTTTACTAGAATTACACTAATATCTCAAATTGACTGTAGTCATGATTTGTTGATGTTGAATTCCAGCCCCACTTTAAGTAGTAATTTTATTTCTAGAAAAAATGTTTGTTAGTGAAAGGCAGTGATGAAGCCATTGTGTGCCAATAATGTTGTGTCCACCTTGAAAGGAATACCACTTAAATTATTGTTACTACTGAGAATGACACAATTCTTGTTAATAGATGATGGTAAGATGGCAACCACACACAATGCTTTTCTTTCCTTTTTTTTAAGAAAGAGATTAGAGTTCGATTTAGCTACAACAAAAAGAAGGTGTGAAGTAAAGAAATTCCTTACAGTGGCTTCCAGATCACCCGACATATACCAAGACCCGCTGAACTCACAGTTGGACCAGCGTGAAAGATTTTACGGTCTATGGACACACACTCTCTCACACAAACTCAGACACACACTCACTCTCACACACACACACACACACACACACACACACACACACACACACACACACACACACACACACACACTGGGCTTTCTTCAGTCTCGTTCTGCAGCAGACCCCACAACTGGCAGTGGATTTGACAGACCTTCAACCTCCACCCACCGTCTCTTCTCTGGCTCAGACACAGACAAAAACAGAATGATACACAGACGCACTGAAACCTAGTTTTGAGCGGAGATTGACTCAAGGGACCTCTGTGTCCTATTTGTATTCCTGACTGAGTTAAGTTTCCGCCTCTGATATGCCCTCAATCCCTCCACTGAATGCTGGTGTAAAGGGCTCGGGTTGAATGTTTGGAGTATTCTTGTCCCATCATATGATGGAGAAAACTGGTTAAACCACTTTCCACTGACTGTGACAGTCGCTTTCTGTGTTCTCTTCAGGTACACACGATTGCAGACAATGTTTTATTTGATCCTAATTGGCCTCAGTCTGACACTGCTCATTCCTGCACTCTTTTCAGATAATCCTGACTCAAAAAGTCTCAAATCTATACACACAATTATCTAGATTCCGTCTCTGTTTTCACTTTCTTTGGACCATCTTTGGACTAGTTACAGTTTTATTTTGATCTGTAAAGGCATAAAACTGAAGAAATAAGACTGTATGCTCATGTCTCTCTACATCCTTGATTTGCCGTCTTCGTCCTTCATCCGTCTTGCTTCACATGATTTGTGTGGTCGAAATGATAGATTGGTGTGAGTTAAATTCAGCAAAACTGCAATTGTACTAATAGATCAATCCCTATCCATGCTGCTCCTAAGCATATTGCTCCACCCCATTAGGGTGATACACTACACAGTGCTGGATCTCTGCTGCTGCTTGTATTGTGCAAGCAGCTGCTTTATTGAGCACTCTGCTGACATCCAGCCCAGCATTTCTGCACCGCAAGGGGAAACTTTGGATGACATGTAAAAGCAGGGGTTTGGTGCGACATGACTCCGTAATGGGATGGAAACAGGGGTGCACGGGGCGGGGAGGGTGCTACGGTAACTGCAGGTATTGGGGCAGAGTAGTGGGATGGAGAGGGGGAGGGAGTGTCTCTTCCAGGCTGCTTCCAAAGCAAATGGAAGACAATCCAATTTCCTGTGATTCCATCAAGCCTCTGTCCTGGATGCAGGGGCATTAGGGAACGCTGAGAGGACAGGCCACTGACCCCTCACATGAACATGCAAGAAACATGCACACATACTCTGGCATGCTCAACTTTTCCACACAACCACTGGCACACACAAACTGCAGATTAGCGCTCGCTGTGGATTAGGGCTTAAACCCCTTACACTTTAATTATAACTGTATGTATTTATGTGTATCAAGGTCTTTAACTTGGCCCTGGCAGTAAACATCTGTCACTGTCCCATTGTGCTGAGTCTTTATGCTGTAAAATAAAATGAGTGGAGTATACGTTTGCCACTGTGGTTTTATAAAAATGGCAGAGCATGCCCCTTTTTATTTTTTACTGAAAATGCCTGGATGTTAGAATTTTACCTTCCATTAATTTGCATCTAAATTTGTCAATTTCAGTACAGTTCTTCTACAATTTCTTTTCTCTCTCTCGCAAATCAACATCATTGTGTGAGACAAACACAATGTCTGCAATACATCACAAGTAGAGATTTGACTCGCAGACAGACAGCATTGTTGTCTTGGGTTAACTACGGCACGCTTTCCACGCTGCTGGCGATTTGCATCTGTGCTCTGTGATCCACCCAGAGGGAATAGAAAGCTCTAATCCAATCAGCAGGTCCCTGAAGTGCTGCCCCTGAGAGAGAGAGCAAGAGAGAGAGAGAGAGAGACAGAGAGCGACACCGAGACAGAAACACAACAATAGGATCACTCTGCTCTGGGCCCAGCCAGAGAGGGAAGACAGGAAAGGAGTGAGAAGAAGGAGAAAGAAACAAGGAATTGAAAAGGATTAAGATTGAGGAGGAGACAGAATGGAAAAGAGAGAAAGGTGGATGTAATGAAAAATAAGAGACGAGGGAGGTGTGGGAGGTAGAGTGGTCAGAAGAAGAAGAAGAGGAGGAGGGACCGGAAGAGAGTAGAGGAAAGACATGGAAGTAACCAAAACAGGAAAGTGCATGAGACGATCTGCTGTTAGAAGGTCAAAGGTGGAAAGACTAATGAATAAATTCCCCATAACAGTTTTAGTAATTTGGAAGTATTTCCACTGCAGTGACATTTTACGGGATGGAAGGAAGTGTCACTGCGCCTGCTGGCTTTTAATCTGTCTCTGAGAGTTTGAAACCATTGTACTTGGCTGAACGACTGCTCTTGTGCTGGAGGCAGCAGTTTGACCATTCATCATCATTATGAGGTGCAAAGGCAGGCTAGAACAGTGATTAAGAACTGAATCTCCTGTTGATGATGCCTGTCATATATTGTGTCTTATTATACCTACAGACACACACACACACACACACACACACACACACACACACACACACACACAGACTTTTCTCCATCCCTGTCCTCAATCCACAGTTCTAACAAGAGTTATATCTCTACCATTGACCCCTTGATCCCAAATATCATTTTAACTGTTCAGAAGATGGACACCCACATATCCATACGCACACACACTCACACACAGGTGCACACAGGAGGCCACTGCTGATTTTCTTGTTTGAATTTGTCACCCTCTTCTTTCTGTTGTCCCTGGGCTGTTGTGTGTAAGGGGCAAATATCCTCCATGGTTAATCCATTTAAAAGATAAGGCTGTAAATATTCTATATTGTTCTTATTGTTAACAGATTTCATGAAAAGACCAAAACTAACAATGACTTCATCATACTAACAAGTATTGTCTGCCTATCCAAAGCCTGATATATCTTATTTCTCCGTGCCTTAGAGCTCCATTGTCCTAAAACTATTAAAAACACTAGGTGACATGTGCCTTCATTACCATGAATACAGGCCCTGTAGCTTATTTTGAGTCAAACACCGTCCTGCTACTGTCATTGGTCAGACCATCATTTTGAGCAACGGAGTGGGGAAAAACTGCTCACTTCAGCCTTTGATTTGTAATTCTGAGTTGGAGATATGAAGGATTTCTCACAACTACAGAAGTGTGAACAGACCACTGGACACAAATTATGTGTCAGAATCAATTCAGTTAATTTAAATGAAGCTATACACTCTTTGTATCCGCTTACAGCTGTGAACGAACCACTACAAATATGTAACACAATGAAAGTTAGTTCTGACGATACTGCTTAAATACAGTATAACGCACTATTTTTTCACGGGATCTGTTCACAGTAAGAAAAATATGGAAATAGCATTATTCTTTGAGACTCTAGCATGGGTTGAGATGTAGGGTTGAGGCTAACTCCGGTCTGGTGTTTGTGGGGGGTAGATCCGTAATGCTGGAGGCACCTCCACTGTAATATGTTGAGTTTCAGTAGCTCGTTGGTGCAGGTTGATTAGAGCCAGCAGTCACCTGCTAGTTGAAAGATTTGATTTGTAGGTCACATGTTTCTCAAATCAATATCTCATCTTCTCATAATCCCCCTTTGGTACAATGAAAACATGGCACCCTGTGTCGCAGCCAACAAGCAGGAGGCAATTAGTATTCTAGTAGCTGAAAGTTTTCCTGTTGACTCTTGGGAAGTTTGAGCAAAGTCATTTTGCAATTTCTCTCCCTCCAAATGCTGGAGATATATATTTTGTTATTCCTAATATTATTCTTTGAATTTGCACTTTCTGGGTTTTTTTGATTCTCCCTTGATCACAGGTGTGTTAATGTAAAGACTTTTTTTTTGTCTCACAGGATAATGAAGGACAGACGGCGCTACATTATGGTAAGAAGGCCTCTTAGTAATCTCTACAGTCCAAAATGTTGTGTAATCACTTTGGAGAAAAAAAGCACATGTTTTTCTGCTATAAAGCTTTTTTGTAAGTGCATGTGTGTATTTTTCAAATGGTGAATATCTCATTTTGGAACGAAACACTTCACATTTATCGTACACTGAAATAATGAGGTTGTCTGTGCGCGCACTCTCTACAGCAGCTTGTTTCCTGTACACCCCTGCTCTTTTCCCACATTTGTCTCATATTTGTCTTCCTCCCACTCTCTCTCTCCTCCATTCCTCACCTTTATTTTCTACAGTTGTTTTTTTACCCAGTTTCTCCCATTCCTCTTTGTTGTGTCCTGTGGATGGGTGCGTGCGTGTAATAATCACCAGGCCTCCCAGAGGAAATCAGCACTGGTCCTTAGACCCCCCTGACCCTCTCATGCCCCAACACACATGTCCCTGAGGGGCGGTTCCCCTGTCCTCTGAGCCTGTGTGTGTGTGTGTGTGTGTGTGTGTCTGGACCATCTGTTTGGTGGCGTTAGAGTGGGCATGTTGCATCACCCACCAGAGACGTACGCACATACACTCAGCAGAGGAAGCCCCGAGGATGGGGCATAAAAAGATGACTAATAAACATAAGCGATGAACTCCAAGAGACAAATAGCAGAGAATGAAAATTCATTCCCACCTCTCTTTGCACAGGGCCACAGTGGCTGGCAAGTGATTAATTGAGGGTTTACTGCTCACCATAAATTGTTCTCCTCCTCTACGGCTCCCCCGAGGGCCAGCCACTTTTTACAGCTCAAGGCCCAGGCGAGACACCCGCCGCGTGCGCGCGCACACACACACACACACACACACACACACACACACACACCTCTGGCTAAATAAAATGTTTAGAGCAACAAGAGGAGGACTGCAAGCGTGGCTGGAAAAATAAGCCAAGCTTTGTTAGTCTGATGTGGCTGAAAGATAAGTGGTTCTTGTAGTGACACTTGCACACCTGATACTATTCGTAGACGCAACTCAAGCGTGCACGCACACACTTGCTTACACATTCACATGCATTCCTATGTATCATCATGCGTGCACACACGCACACACTCACACACTCCTGCCAGCCAGCCCACCAGCCGGCCACCCCTGGGCCTGAGGTTAAAAGGCCTGGCTGTCAATCACTGTGGCTGCTGACATCAGCGCTCGTGGCGCAGCCCAGAGTCTGCTCTTTAAAAGGAGTGAGCGATTGACACCGCCAGAGAAGAGCACTCAGAACGAGAGAGGAAGAGAGACGAGATAGGGGAGTGAGGTGCCACAGGGGCGAGAGGTGCACTGAATAAGCAGGGACCCACTAACTGGGTTAAGAAAGTGCAAGCTTCCCACCCTCCCTCCCCCATATACAGAGAGAGAAGACCCTTTTAGTGGGGCACATATTGCCAATGGGGCAGAAATAAAGTGTTTGAGAGAGCCACAGGTCCAGGCCAGTGTCAGTGCTGGGCCTGCAGATGGGTGTTTCATTAACCGCAGCACTGTACATACTTTATTAAACTTCAGTATGTAGAAGAAAGGAATAAGTCAAATTTACTCATAATGGTGCACACCATTATAATCTGAGATTAGCTGCAGTGATCCATGACATTCCCAATTATTCATCCTGGTAAGAATAAATGACAGACAGACAGTATAACACCTCTGTTTCAACAAAACTGCAGCCATTTTAGCAGCTCTGTGAGGCTGCACAGTGGTGCTTTGAGCTAAATACTAACTCTAGCATGGCAATATGATCACAAAGACAATGTTAACATTTTGATGTTTAGCAGGTATAACCATGCTCACCATCTTATTTTAGAGTGTTAGCATGCATTACAAGCCAAGTCATTAGTTTTGCAGTAACTTGGCCGTCAACAAAAGTTTTGGACAAATTGTCTGTGAAGATTCTCAGTCATCCAGGTCATAGTTATCCAATGAAGGTTAAAGTCAAGGGCAACTGGACTTGGTTGAAGATACTGGAACCAAGTCCAGTTGCCCTTGACCTGTAAAAACCTTCGTTGGATTTTGGACAAATTGAAATTGTGACCTGATGATGCCGCTAGATACAAATCTGTACCATATTTTGTGCTAATCCACCCATTAGATGTTGAGATATTTCCCTGGATAAGTAAAAAATTCTACCTGCTTGTCATTCGCTTTTCTTTTTTTTTGATCAGATGTTTACTGAGATGAATACACAATCAAAAACTACATAAAATATGAAATATACAAAATGCACAATAATGTTTTAAAAAAATGAGAACAAACCCTGAAAGCACCCGCTGGTTACTCTTGTGGAAAAGTTAGAGACTCACCAAAGTGGTATTCATCCTCTGGGGACCATGACTTTCTGCTAGCATGGCTAAAAAGCTAAAATGTCTTGCAGAAAGTTTGCCTAAATTTTTGCCTTTTGTTACTTCTCTTTGCTGTATTCTTCTCCTACTAACTCCTCCATTATTTTTATGTCTTGTTTTCGTAGCATCGGCGTGCGAGTTTGCCGACATCGTGGAGCTCCTGCTGAACGCTGGAGCCGACCCGTCCATCAAAGACATGGAGGGCTCTCTCCCTGAGGAGGTCACTGAATCCAGTGCCATCTCCTCTCTCCTGCGTCAGTACACTGCTCCAAAAGGCTAGATCAACTTCCTCCACCCGGTCCCCGCCCCTATCCTCGTTCATCTTCTGTTCATCCCCCGCAGTTGGTAGACCATGATTGCAAAGGTTTTATTTGACTTTATTTCCATATACTTGAGGTGAGTTTGATTTCATTGGCTTAGTTTTTTGGAACCACAGGGTGTAAACATTAGCGGCTCTGTTTGGTAAGACCCATGAAATGAAGCACTCCACAAGTATTTTCATTAATCTAAATACTATATATTGACTTTAAATACCCAGTAGGGTTGGGTGATATGAATATTACTGTGAGATGATAAAGATCAACTGGTTAAGATTTTGCTTTACAGAGGTGGCTGCACCTTTAATATCTCCTCTGAGCAGGTATGTGTATAGGCAATATTGGGATGACAGGCCTTGTGCATCAGTGTGATGAAGTGTCGGATATGTCAGGCCGGAAAAGTTATATCACAGTGTATCTCTGGTTATTGTGATATAAAATTAAATACTGTAATGGAAGATTTTATACATAACCCTCACTCCTACTGCCCAGGTCTGACAATCAGCCAGACTCTCTGACCATTTTGTTCATGATTCAGTTGTATTATGTTCAAGGAATGCTTTAGTCATTTATCACATTAAAGTCTTCAACAAATGTGTTCCTTCTGACTTGTTCTCTGTTTATTAGATAAATTACAGTCAACATCATATGACAGTGTGCTGCAGTGATAGCCCTAAACTCACATGCCATCTTTGTGATCATCTCATTGAACCTAAACCATACATACAGCCATACAGATTAAACTTAATGACAAACGTTTTGGAAAGATGGATGCTTTAAAAAAAAAAAAAAAAAAGTAAATCCTGTAAAAACATATTTGTTGCTTTACAGAAAGACAAGAAAAACACATTTAAAGGTGCAATGTGTAAGGATTTAATAGTTTGAAACATTCAAAAATTAGCATTATGAACAGAATGTAAAGAAGTAACAGTTCTGAAGCTATGTCAAAGACGTCTGTGTATTCTGTTGCAAAGCTATCTCCTGAAGTTAGCATGCTAACCAGCTAGCCCCGGCCCATCCTGACTCGTAATACCACTTTATATCTCAAGAGGTGATAGTCCAATAGTATAGCTGAGGCCTCTTCCCCTAGTTTCAGATGGGAGATGTGTGCAAGCAGCGAGTTTGCTATGTTACACAAGCTCTCTTAGCTTTTTTAGTCTTATAAATAAACAAAATAAATGCACAAAATAACCTTCTGAAAACCAAACTAATTGCCTTGTTAACTCATTGTAAAACGCACTTCATTTGAACTTGACAGCAACAAAATAAAATTCACCAGAACTGTCTTGGTTAGTCTTTCCACAACCGTGGTCGAAATAAACCCTTAATTCCCGAGTTAGATCTATACTGCTTTTCTGATGTCAGACGTCCCTCTCGCTCCTCTTCTGCTTGACACCTTGACATCATCATCATCCCCGGTTTCAGAGTCCTTGTGGGAGTCACTGCCAGCTTAGGTTCTGGTCCCCATTCCGGACTAAGACTAAGCATGTCTAGGAGGTATGGTGGTAGTAAGTTTAAAAGCAGGCCAGAGAGATAAAATAAACTCTAAAAAAATGTACAATCACCAACAACATGACCAAGCTCGCACTCCAACAAATGAGCACTAATACAAAGTCCACTGAGACCCCATTTATTTGGCCTGTCTATAATACAGTACTATGAAAGTAATGATAATGCATGGCTGGTAACTATACTGCTAATTAACTATGCAACACATTAAAACATGATAAGAATAGCCTAAATAGTGTGATGAAAATACATACATGCACACATATATACTGTACAATACATGTACAGCCATGCACACATAAATACACAGTTTTATTTATTGTGAAACTTTGACTGCTGTATAATGTATTATGTATTCCAAATGGTATTGATTGGTGTTTATAAATGGAAAGAAATGTATTTTGCAGTCCTTACAAGCTGTCCACTGTTGTTTTAATCCATAGTTCTAATCCACCCTCCACTCCACTGGCCATTCTTCATCGTCCCTGCAGCATACACACAACGTACTGTACATACAACACTGGACTCAGCAACCTGTGTCTGTAGTATTATGTCACATAGGAGAGATCTGGATGTTCTCCAAAAATAACCAACACATAGTCCAAATCTGCTTTACTCGTCCTCAAGCCCCTCTGATCAGCACATTCTCTCTGCCTCAGCTCACACACACTCCACCAGATGAGAATACACTAAATCTGGATCCTGGATCTTAACTACAGCTTCATGAAGAAGCAAATGCACATTTTGTACACAACAGTTGGGACAAAGCTTAATCCTGTACTCTCTAACACGCTCCCTTGCTCCACGCCTGCTCTTACCCCTGAGTGTTTTACTTAAATCTGCCTTGACACAAAGGCGTTAGATAACCATCTTAACATGTCTGGTTGCAGCCTGTCAGTCTGTCACAGATATGTGACAGCAGTAGATGGTCTAGCCGGTATTGGTAGTCATCACCAGGAACACCGCTTCAAATTCAATTTTTGCCTTGACAGCTGTTGTACAGTGCCTGTGGTGAATTGAGATGCACATGAGCTGTGCTATACATGAGGTGAATTAAAATCTCGCCACATAATGTCTATATCTGCATCCATGTCTTATCCTTCACAATTCACAAGGGAAAAGAGGGCCTGGAGTATTTTTTTCCCCCAAAAGTATCATCATTCACTTTTGTAGACTCTTGACTTTTGAGCTCTAGAGCCTTCCTCAATGATATTTTATGCCTCTACCCTCATGAATTTTGAGGAGCGACCCTGCGTGAGTTGAGAGGAAACCTTTTGAGTATTCAACCTGAGTCTGAGACATGATGCTTTACAATCCCACAAAGAGACAACCAGTGACTATCTTTTTGTTATGAATTCCGTCCACATCCAGCCATTAGGCTGTTGGTGTATCTCTAAAGCTTGTTTGGGACCCGGTGTTGTCTCCTCGTTGCTTCCTAAACCCCGTTATGTTGGCTTGAGGTAAGAGAGGGTGACGGCAGTTGTGCCCCCCCCCTCCGGCTCGTCTGCGAGACTCTGACACTAAGCCCATTATGCTTCCATTATGGGGCTTCAATTTTCCTCTGAGCTTTTTGGTTTTGACACTGCAGCTCCCTCCCTCTCCAAACCGCAGACTCACACACACCCCCGAGCCCAATATTGTTATTGTATACATTTTTCAGAGGTGAAAAGAAATAAACTACATTTACTCAAGTAGGACACTTAAGTACAGTTTTGAGATACTGGTACTTTGCTTGAGTGCTTCCATTTTGTGCAACATAATACTGCACTATATTTTGGAAGGAAATTTGTGTGTTTTTTTGTGTGTCAATACACCACATTTCAAATGAACAAAATATAGATAATATATATAGATCACATCCTGGTTTCAGGAACCTTACTAAACCGTTGTTCCCGTGAAACCTGGTAGTTGTAGTACTCGTGCATGTAAACACCTTTTGCAGGTTTCTGATCATCCTCTGCCATGTGTGGAAGTTAAGTTACATAGCAGTTAGTAAATTGATGTCATTTAATGATGATCAACAATTGAAAAAATAATAATTATATATATATATGTGTGTGTATATATATATATATGTGTGTGTATATATATATATATGTGTATATATATATGTGTGTGTGTATGTATATATATGTGTGTGTGTATGTATATATATATGTGTGTGTATATATATATATATGTGTGTGTGTGTGTGTATATATGTGTGTGTATATATATATATATATATATATATGTGTGTGTATATGTGTGCGCGCGCGCCTCCATCTCTCCTGCTTACTACTCTCATCACTCTCCTTTTCATCTTTCTCTCACAGTCATTCTGCTCTCTCTTCTTTTACCTCTCCACTCCTTTCTCTCTCCTGTAAAAGCAATACCATGTCGTTGCTTTGGCCAGCTCTTAATGCAACCCTTTACCCCCACCACTTCCCCCATGTTCTCTTTACGCTGCAGCACCCCCACACCCACTCTGAGCAGCATCACTGGGAACCCAAGAGTAAGCAGAAATCCCCATTGCTGCTGAAACACATCCCACTAATATCAGAGGCTCATGCACTGGTCCAGAACTGTGTGTGTGTGTGTGTGTGTGTGTGTGTGTGTGTGTGTGAGACTCCAAGCTATAAGTTTAATATGTAGTTTATGGTGATGAATAAGCGTTTCTACTTTCCCCCAACACGGAAGACCTGAGCTTTTAGACTTCAGATAAGTCAACAAACTGGAAAGAGTCTGGTTTGCAATCTTTCTCACGGTATCTTTGTCACATGAAAACCATTAGAACAACACTGGAGACCAAGGCCTTCAATACAGCAAACCTGTTATCATCACTACAGCATTTGTCATGGTTTCCTCAGGAGTCATAAACCCTCCTCCCTTGGTTACCTGTCATCCAACTGATGGGTGCAGCAGGATAATTATTGAGTGGAAAAGGCCCAGTTTTACATTAAAACAGCACTGAGCTCACAACCTTGAAGGTGTCATTGAGAGGCCTCTGTTTGACTCCAGTTCCTCTTGAAGACTCACTCAGTCATCCTGCGGATCATTGTTCACTGCAGGCTGGATGGAGTCGTTTGGGGAGAAAAATGCCCTGTCTTGAGGCTGCGAGATTGACTTTCGGGCCACAACAAATCGTATCTATTTTGCATGTTAATTTATTCCCTTTTGCTTCAGATAAAAAAAAAACTGTTTCCTTCAGGAAGTTTGTAATAAAAGCCTTGCGATCAATGATAATGGCATTTGTGCTTGTGTTTGTCATCTTCGCAAAAGCAACAGTGGTGGAGTTTCCACAGATTTATTTGTATACTAGTGCTGTAAGTGGCGTGTAAATTATCCTAACTGTCTCTGTGGCTTTTTATCTTTGTAAGGCAGTACTATTAGAGCCTATCCATTATTGCCCATAGCACAGCCAATCAATGTTGAAATAAAAATCAGCTCAATTTGTGGCGTTTTATGCAAACGTGCAAACTCCAACCAGGCTGACTCTTTGCTTTTTGTTTTTATAATGTAACAAGAATAGCTAAAACACAAAGGAATCAATAACACTTAAGTTTGGGTTAGGTTGGCCTCCTCTCAGACAAGTGCTGCACATTGCTGCATACAAATGAGTTTCATACAGATGTACACTGTATTGTAATTTCATTATAATGCTATGCATAGTTAGCCAACACCGTAGTTACAGGGAATAAATGCACTGTAACCTGAGAGGTTTTAGCAACGCAGCAACGGCAAGTGAGAAGTAGAGCAAGCAGCCACACACACACACAGTCAGGGTCACAGCTACAAATGAGGACACTTAAGTTGTGTCCTCCATGATTTTTCTAAGAATTTGGGGGGTTTAATACCATGAACAGGATTTCTTATTCCATAAATACACATGTTTGCTTTTAAAAATTCTTATTTGGGTATTTTATACATTTATTAGAAAGCCAATAGTACAAAGATGGCAGGAAATGAGGGGAGAGAGAGATGGGGAAGGACAGGCAACAAAGGCCCCCAATACAAATCAGTGGTGTGGTAGTTCGTGGTCAGCACCGTAACTCCTATGCCACCAGTTCACCAGTTGTGGGTTTTTTAAGGCTGATTAAGATACTTTTAGCTAAGCTAGCGGGTGACTTTAGGGATGGTTCTATTGGTCGGTCAGCAGCATCAGCAGTTGAAATTTTTCATTGTCCTCTTATACTTTGTTTATTTTCAAAAACTTGTAGAACTCTTCACATTCCCATCAGCCTCAGCTGTACTTTGTTTTGAGCGTTAACAGCTAATGTTAGCATGCTAAACTAACCTGCTAACATCTGCATGCTAACATTGTCATTGTGAGCATGTTAGCATTTAGCCCCAAGCGCCACCACTGACTCTCTGCTAGAAAGGCTATAGACTCTTCTGACTTGTTTAGACCAAATATTATCTACCTTTGACAGTTTTTAAATTAAAAACAAATATTAGAATAAATGTAACATTATTTAACATTTAAAGTATGTAAAAAATGTAAGACCAGGGGAGGGAGGCTTTGAAACAGCCTTTAGCCCGCAATAATGGAGATAAAAATTACAGAAAACTTTGGTTGCTAGTGAAAAAAAAAACGAGGGCTGTGTGGTTTGTGAAATGGGACTCATGACCTATGTGGTGAAACATCCTGGCTATAGCCCTGCATATAGTCTACTTACCAGCTTGACATATTGACATACAAGCTAACTGTCTGCATATGGGCCACATTCCCTTTTTGCCTGACCACAAAGCATATTTTATCATATTTCACAAAGCACTCTACAATTAGTTAACAGCACAGGGATTAAGGAGAGATTTGACTGCAATCTGCTGCTGTGTCTCTTTAGCACTGAGAGGATCAGTGAATCCAGCGAGGCATCTGTTTCTCCACTTGTTTTTTTTCTATCTCGTCTTTCTTTCTCTCTTTCTTCTCTCTCTTCATGTATCTTTCCTGTCACCCCCACCCCGATAGCAAGAGAGGAAAGCGGCATCAATCACTGTTAACTGACTGACCACTGTCTGTTGGTGGTACTAAATGGATCTCCACAATTGAATAGAGGCCTAAGTGTGTGGTAAATGCTCTCAATGGGTAAATGAATTTGCGGGTTAACTCGCTCTAAGAGCGTTTAGATAAGGCAAAATAATAAAAACACCTACAGCCGATATTTTTCTTTTGATATATTGAAAACAAAGTTCAGCTGAAAATCTTAACTCTCACATTCATCACAGCAGACCCGGTCTGTTAAAGAGGAATGCAGTCGAGGGTAACCCAAAGACAATTCAGCTTTATTTTCCTCATATAGATTTGACTGTACACGGTTCATACCATTACACAGAAGGCATAAATGAATAAATTCAGTGCTCTCTTTTACATCTTTTTCAAAGACACATGGCAATAATAAATAGCGCTCATGAAACAAGACGATCAACACGTTTTCAAACTGTACAACATTTACAACAGTTAAGATGCAAACTTCTGAGGCAACACAGACTTAACAAAACTGTAGTGGTAATGTGTTTGCGTGTGAGTTTCACTTAACGCTTTAGATTATACCCCGCAAATTAAACTTTAAATATTTTGTACATATCAATGAAACCTTACTGGGTATCTACTGGGATGTACGAGGTAAGAATATGCAGGGAATAAGGGGGTAACAAACTAGCATTAAGGGTGGACATAGAAATGTTTTATACTGTACGTACTTTTGAAACACAATTAACCCATTTTTCCTGTCTTGTTTTCTAGTAATGTTACTGTATACTGTAAATCCATACTCAGAAATTCAAAAAAGTGTAATTTAAGTAGTAATTTAAGTAATGTATGTCCCTCTTAAACACATTAAGAGGTTATTCTCTAACTTCTTGTCTTCTTGTCTTCTTTTCCTGTATGTACAAATGAATTTAGTTACACAGTAAGTATTTCATTGATACCATGTAATTAGTAGATAATTATGCTGCAATTTGCGGGCTGTAATCCAAAGTGTTAAGTGATTTTCTTAATGGTGTCACTTTCTGTTAGTTGATTTGCTTTCTGGCTCTCAAATAGGATGCTCTGGTAAAAAAAACAAAAAGGACTTGGCAATTGTTTGCGAAAAGGTGCCCACATATATACGATTTAATTTCATTTCTTCACTTGACAAAACAGAAATAAGAGTAAAGATGTGTATTTAAGTAAACCTTCCCTTAGATCAAACAATTAGTTGCTCTTACAGCTCAAAGAAAATTTGTATTTCAAGAGAGTCAGAACCAGGGGTTGCACTTTAAGTGAACCATCCTTCCGTCTCACTTGTCGTTGGGGGGCTTTAAGATGTGGCTGATGTGGCCTGAACTGTAGGAAACATTATCAGCCCAGCGGTCTGAAGCTACAGAGTATTGGCCCTGATAGTGGGGGGGCTCTGTGGTAATCCCTCTGACATGGAGGCCAGGCAGGGGGAGAACAGACTGACAACACATCTGGGGTTCGTAAGTAGGATGATAGCAGGCAAAGCTAGTGCTCTGCTGGACTGAGTAGATTACCAAGAGACGCTTGGATCAGACTGAGGAAATAGCCAACACAAAGCAAATCTTTATCAGTGTTCCTACTAATACTTGTTGGGGTTTTGAATGTTAAATGAATGTTTTGTATTTTGTGTAACCATTTAATTTGCTCAGTAATATCTGCAAAGAAATCTGCATGTCTATAAATTGATATCTCCTTGTCTTAAATCTGTGCATTCAAACAAAAAATAAATTAATCATTTTGATGTGTTATATATTACTAGAATGGATAGAGTTGGTTTTCTCCAAACCCCAAACTTCTTAACTGTCCTCCAACACATAACATTTGATGCCCGGTGAGTCTGGAAACAGATAGTTTAATACTGACAGATGTCCGCTCTCAGACAGCTTTTACACAGACAAGAACAAGTCAAGCACCTATAAATATAGAAGAGAGACCTGCTGTGTAGCAAACAGTGTTCGCCCTCACTCAAACAGAGGAGACATCAATTTCTACGGACAGACAGACGGACAGACAGACCAACGGCCATCTACTTCCTATTAACTTGTAAGCGTCAGCAATACATTAAAAAACATCAGCATGGTTCAAAATTCATACTTGTGCCACTGTTCTTGTAAATTTCTCTCCCAATGAAACACTGTGTTTTTGCCTTGTGCATATGTCTCTCCTCTTTTTCTCTCTTCCTCTCTCTGCATTCCTGTCCATATGTGTAAAAAACAAAAAAAGAAGAGGAGAGTAAAGTGCATCGCCAATGTAAAGGCTTTGATATGGCCAGACAGCAGTCCTACTCATTATCAATCAAGAAGCATGCAGGTGCCTCCTGGGTCGCATAGGGACTTTGATCTAGATTGTAGCCCTATTGTTGTAGCTGATAGACAGGGATGGTTTAATTTGGGAGGTGAGCCAATATTAATTCCCCAGTGAGCAAAAATCCACTGAAAAATTTTGGAAATCCAGTCACATATTCAGAGTGAAAGGACAAAATAAAGTCAGATGATAACAATAAGTGTATGATTCAGTGTTGAGATTGAACATTCAGTGGTGTGGAGGTGTTCTTCACTGCTTTTATCCGGGCTGCACATCTTGATGCGGTTGTTACCTCACCGTTAACAACTGCTGAGGGACTGACACTTCTTCTCTTCCTTCTCCTCTTCACCCAAAATCACAAAACATACCAGTCTTGGAGGGTGATAGAAAGTAATGTAAAAAGCTTTGTGAGTCTGTTTTGTCGTATCCCTACAATGATCTTCTACCGTGCTCAAGACTCAAAACTGGGAATGGTCCATCTCATCCAGCCATGACGCGGGGCTGGTGGGGAAATCAGGGTATCCTGTACTGCTGCCTGTGGAGAGGTCTGAGGTTGGGCCCCCTGCCATGGCCCTCAGGGCCTGTCCCACGCCGCCCGGCCCGCCCTGCACCACCAGACTGTCCATATTGAAGCCTAGGTTGTTGAGGAGAGGGGTGTGGCCGGGCAGAGAAGTGATGGAGGAGGGTGACTGAGGGAGACCGTAGGGGCTTCCTGCTCGGATGTCGTGGTAGGGTTGTCCCGCTGCGTCGACTGAGAAGCCACCATTCAGCACCCCGCTGCTGGTCACGTCACCGACACTCCCATAAAGCCCGTTGGTGTGGCCGAGATCTGACAGGACCTGGTCATCTGTGGAAGAGATACCACCACTTAGCATGAGGGGTGTAAACATTTGGACGCATCAACTGTCCACACTGTCAACTGCAAGAGCATTATATAGTTGTTATATTTCAATACAGTTAAGTGCTTTTATGAGTGAGATTTATTGCAGCAACATTATGTGGATTTTACGAAGGTACAGTAAGTTGTCCGCTGAAGTATTTGATAAGTGTTTGAATTTTGTTGGTGAGAAAGCATGCTCTTCTTCTCTACGAAAGGAGGTATGTATGTGTGCAATTACTGCAGCACAAAATATTTGTTTCCATTTCAATCCTTCCTCCGGGTGGCTTCAATAACAACAAAGCCCCAGAGCACTTTCTCTCTAATTGACTAAAAGCCTCGCATGCTTTATAGAGTTTCTGTCACCATGTTTTCATTTCTCATAAAAATGGTCTTCTTTTTAAAAGTGGCTTCAGGACTTTTATGACTACCCAAAACGGGGTTTGCGAACATTAAATAACATAAGGATGTCTAAAATGTCATTTGCTTCCCACTAAGGAACCTCTCTCTTTTCCAATAAGCTCCATCATGGCGACAAACAGAGGCAGGAGGATGCGTCAGCGGCAATGGGGAGGTGTGAGGGGAATGTGAAATGAGAATGCCATTTTGGATTTGCCTGACACAGTGCACTGAGCAATGCAAGAAAACAAATGAAATGCCACAAAGACACATTCAATCGCTGCTGCACTCAGAACCGTGTCATTTAGCAGCTTGTAGAGTCCCTTAATCCCATTAGCACGACAGCATGACTGACAATTCCCTTTCAGGAATCTGTCTCTTAAGCAATAATAGATATGCACTTGGTTGAAATGATCCACATGATACGTACCTCTGAAGCTCAGCTCACTGTCGCTGAGTCCTGCGTCATCCGCCGAGCTTTCCTTCTCCACTTTAGTTCCTCCTCGGCTGCGTTTGACACTTTTATAAAACTGAGTCCAGCGATGTCGACCTGCGTCTTTTTTCAGACGCTTTTCCTTTGCTCGCCGGTTCTGGAACCACACCTGACAGGGATAATAATAATGATCATTTACTGAAAATAAGAATAAATTTTGTAACTATTCAAAACAATGACTTACTACTCCAACTAATAATAATAATTATCATCATAAATAATATTTTTTCTGTTTAATCTGAATTAATGTTTCAAATCTAAAACTCTTCCAACCATTTAGTTTGACACAAAACAGTTAGAATTTTATGAGATAGTTGTGAAGATCAAAACTTAACAGCACAATGAGTAGTCTAGAACTGCTCTATATGAAAAGCGCTATGAGATAACAGTTGTTGTGAATTGGCGCTATACAAATAAAATTTAATCTAATTTATTTTGAATTTACACTTGGTACATGGAGACCAACTTAGTCTAAATTAACTAAGTGATTCTCATCAAAATAAACTTAAAAAAGCAATGTTCTAAATGGTGTTGCATGAAGACAATTTGAACAAAATTGAACATCAAGAGAAAAAGCAGGAAAATTGTGGTAAGAAATATTAAAGAGATATTAAAAAGAGCCTCAAAAACAAATAATTCCTTACATTGAAGTAAATATATAAATAAGTTTTAAGAGGAGTTTGTTTTGCGTCTTTGTATTGTCTTTTAAATAAAATACCATCTTTTTAGGCCTTCAGAAAGGTAAAAGTCTGAAAACCCTGATAATACCAGTTTTACATTTGTATTTAAAGCATAATTAATAAAAATGGTTGCTAGTGATAATGATAAGCTAGTGTTGACAAACTGAGCTGCTGCATTTTGTACAGGTCAAAGACGGACCAGAGAGCCTTTTACAGGAATGGGGACACCTGCAGTATTCTGAATGTGACAAGACAAAACCCTCTACCTGCACTACTCTCATGTCTAGCCCCGTCTCCGAGGACAGCTGCTCTCTGACGTGGCGTGCTGGCTTCGGCGAGTTTTTGTAGGCACTTTTGAGGGTCTCTAGCTGCTTCGCCGTGATGGTGGTCCTTGGTCGCTTGGTCCCAGCCTCTGAATCATCTGAAAACATCATTACAAGTGTGAGTGACTCCTTCTTACATTTGTCACGTTTCCTTAACAGGCAGTGCCCCTCGGCCTTTGCGCGGAGTATTTGTGTGTTAAATGAAGTGAATGGTCGTGTATGGAAGAGTATTATTGTCCTTGTGCATCTGTCCCACAGCAGAGGACATAAATCTATCCAGCCAGAGTGCCAGAGGAACAGAGTTATTGGGGCCGCACCATATAGGAGCATTGCTTCACTTTACATAATCAATCAGAGATGCATGGAAATCTCAGAAGAGAGGGAGGGGGAGAGACAGCATCCACACCCAGACGACAAACAACATAGATCCACAGTCAGAAGTCATTTCATTGCATTGCACAGTGCACACAGCTTGAACACATCCTCTGTGTCAGCACTGAACCACATAGACTGAGTCTGACTGTAGTGATAAAAATGTCATGATTGTTGCAACGGATCTTTTTAAGTAAAGTTTCAACCTGTATTTTTTCGTTTGAAATTTAATTGGATTTTTCAGCTAATGTTGTTGCTTAATATTTTGCATGTATGCAGACCTACCGTTTTGTTTTGCAGTCTCATAATCCACCTTACACACCAGCCTCCCATCCTCCATGAGGTAAAACTCGTCCCCGGTGGCCAGTTGTCGGCTGCACATGATGCAGGCAAAGCAGTGCAGGTGATACACAAAGTCCTGCGCCTTCCGCACAACCTGCGTCGGAGGGATCCCCTGTTGGCATGATGCACATTTTGTTCCAAATCGCCTGCGGGAAAACATGAGGAAGAGAGATGCCGTTAGTAAATTTGATGCAAAACACCAGCAGGTTAGACTGCCATGCTTCTCCTGTTTATACCCACTTTACAGGCTCATTGAGATACTGAAACCAACCCAAGATTAAAATTTCATATGCTAGACAGCTATTTCTTCAACTGCAGCCAAGAATGATGGCACAGTGTCTATATTAATAGAAGCTCCAGCTGTTGTGAAGGGAAATATCAGCACTGGAATGCATTTCTGTTAACGATAGACCTGTCCACAGGCTGATGGATGGAGAGGATCAATGCACTTGTTTGTTTGTGTGTGTGTGTGTGTGTGTGTGTGTGTGTGTGTGTGTGTGTGTGTGTGTGTGTGTGTGTGTGTGTGTGTGCATTTTGTTTGCATGCTTATGTGTTTGCAGATGAAGTACTGAGAGCTAAGGAGGATAAGGAGGAAGACGAAAAAGAGGAGGATGATGAGGGGTGCTCACAGTAAACACACCCTGAGGAGAACCAATAAAACACTGACTCAGGAGAGGTTTTAAATCACACAAACAACCCACAGAAATAAAAAGAGCAAGGTGAAGGCTCCAAATCACTACCGGGTAGCACACACACCACTGGATCTGTGTGCATTTTTGTGTTTATGCATGTGTGTGTTGTCCAGTCAAACATGTCCCTTGACCACAGTTTGAACATGCAAACGTGCCCCTGCTGTCCCCTGGGTCGGCTAACACAGTTACCTCTCAGTGAGACTCCAGAGCTCTTTAGGTCTCATTCAAGCTTGGAGCATTAAAACCTTTCAAACATGATTTAGTAAAGAGCCTCGGATCTGATGATCCTGTTTTGGATAAAAGTCAAACTCAATTTTCTTCTGTAATGCTTTAGAAATCCAATCCTTTGACAGACAAAAAAAGAAAAATGAGGAATGGCAAAAAGATATAAACAAAGGGTACATTTTACTTTCTATATTATTACGAGATTTTATAAATACCATCAGCACATATTTTAATTCTGAAATAAATGAGCAAACATAGTCCAGCATTATGCATTGAGCTGAACAATGATATAGCTTTATAACAGGCCATCAAAATTATATAGATTATTAATTTTAACAATTAGAAAAAAGAAATATAAATTCAACCCAGAGAATTAATAATAATTCACCAAAAGATGATCAATTAAATGGCTCTCTGTGTTGATATTTAGAAATAAAAGTTGATAAAACCTTGATATAAAATATCTGACATCATCTGACATCGACGAAATAGAATTTTTCTTTCATTATAATACAAAAAAATCAAAAGGCGACAGTAAATATTGCTAAACAATATGACATAACACTGGATTTATGCTAATGCTTTAATATCTGCTGCGAAACAAGTAGCTAACAATTTAGGCTAATGTTGCCTGATATAAATTATAAATATAAACCTATAAATTGCTTGTAAATATCAAATATAGACGAGTTATTCAAAACAAGTTTCCAGCAGAATAAGTCACTTTTCCTCTCCCACCACACCATTTAAAGGTGAAAGTCACCAAAATGTTACTTTTTCTGCGTGCATCTCGCTTATTTTGTTTTTGTATCGAGCACAGTTAAGGGGAGGAAACCAACTCAGTTTTAATAATAAATCATGGACAGCTATGAAAATATATATAAATGCCATTACTTCACCACTGAGACAAAAGCAATAAAAAAATCGAAACAGATAAACACACTGACTTGAAGAAATCCTCCTTGCAGTAGACGCTTCCTGCCCGGGAGAAACATTTGTCCGATAGCGGAGTCTGACAGTCGGCGCACTTGAGGCACTTGGAGTGCCAGTGTCTGTCCAGCACCTTCAGGATGAACTTGTCCAGGATGTGCTGACTACAGCCGGCACACTGAGGGATCTCTGCAGGGGGAGACAAGAGCACAAGGTCACACACACACACACACACACACACCGTGAGTAAAAAGAGAAGTGAAACTCTGACCATGAGGCAAACAACAATAGGTCTACCTGATATCCATAGAAATAAAGCAAGCGTTCATTTATATTCATCGGTAAAATAAGCTTTCCCTCCATCGTGTCCCAGCCTGCAATTTGGCCTATCACATATCAGACAGGATGGATAATATTATATTAGGCCTAAAGGATAGGCTGTTATAATAATGATATTTAAAGACACAAGATCGTAGTGTAGAAACGTTTTGTCTCAGTCTTGTCGTTCAATTTACTGTGGTATGTATTTTCTCTCGTCCTATTTGTTTTTAATTTCCGTAATGAATTTCATTTTTTTAATTTTATCGTCTTTGCTGAACTGTAAAAAACGTTTTGGGAATGTTTCCGTGTCTGTCCAAGGTGCTGAAGTCGGAGCTGTTTCCCAGCAGTGCAGAGAGATAACCTAGGCTACTTTTTGCCAATCATATTGATTTTTCTTAATTTTATTAACCAGCTCTATGACTCTGTAGCCTGATCATCTCTCTAGTTGGTTTTCTAGGAGGTGTGGTGGCATCTATGTAAGTAAGTCAAGGTGAGATTAAATTTCTTTTTTGTGGTTTTGAGAAACACAACTGGGAAGCAGCAGCAGACCACATGCAGAAACAGGGACCGTGCTGTATTTAACCTTCCGATTCCCTCATATTACTGCAGCGGCATCGATGATCTACTACAGTAAACTGCAGATTACTAAAAGTGAAATTAAATTAAATGAATCAAACAGAAATAAAAATGTTCATCCATAACAAATTACACATTTCCTCATAATGCCGGTCCTTTAACAAACAACCAAATTTCAGTGGCTAGTCTATTTATACCTATTACACGAAATATGTTGCACAGCAACTGGCTTATTCCATAGTGATTTCATTTAGTGTCTTTTATCATAATCAAGTGTATATATTTGCATTATATTTACGAGAACAAATGCGTGGTTGCTGTTGTGAAAAAAGGCCTCATGTTAGCATCTAAAAACCAACAACACTGACGATTAATTTTGCATTTAATCTTCCTCCATTATTCTGCGGTGCAATTTTTCTACATTTTCTTTCGCGGCTTCTCTTAGTCAAACATCCACATGATATTTGATAATGAAAAATCAATATCGAAAAGAAGTGGGCAGAGAAAAGCAGTGTGAACACACACACACTCATGAGCTGCGGCTGTTGTTCACCGCCGAGAGAAAACATCTCTTCCGTGAAATCATCTTATAATAACCGTCAAAGCTCAAGATGCCTTATAATTAATATCATCACAGCATACAGTCTGCAAAAGACAAAGGCTTATGCAACATGGAGGTCAAGGCAGCCAGCACACAACGTTTAAACTTGTTGTTCAATTCTTTAAAATGTAATAATTGAGTGCATTTATTGTTTGCATTACGTTGCTGTTAAATGTTTAAATGTACAAATTAGATGAGTGACAGTGACAGATTAATATTTGGTCATTATTATAAACCACCAAAGGAAAGCAATGCACACAATAAATACTGAGCAGTAATTCCTGCGCAGACGCAGACAAGGATTACTGGCTGGCCTGGTTTAGTTTTACCTCAACAGTGAGTAAATTCCTACAGGGATAATGCTTGCACCTGAATCTGTGCCTTGGACTTTTAAAAAAAATGAGTATAAATTAGAGGTATTTAAAATATCTGGAGATAAGTGGTGGGTGGGTGAAGCTGAGCGAAGAAAAGTGGTGCTGAAAGGAAAGCAGCACGATCTTGGCAACGACTGAGCGTCCACCGTCCAGCTTCAGTGTGTGTGTGTGTGTGTGTGTGTGTGAGTGAGAGAGAAAGAGAGAGAGAGAGAGAGAGAGAGAGAGAGAGAGAGAGTAAACCTCGTGTATTCAGGGCGGCATCATATCTTAGTATCTGTTGCCACCACTCTCCACTCTTCACTACATTCAGCCTCATCACCTCAGTCATTTCACACAGGAAGTGAAGCACATTTTGATTGAACGGGGCTTTCAAATATATATATATATATATATATGTATATATATATATAAAAGAAGAGGTGCAGTCTGGCAGCCTCTCAAACTTTCAATTGTCAAATGATTTGTGGTAATTAAACGTGAAGTAAACACTTTATATCCAAGACTAATAGCCTGCAGGTTAAGGTTTGGGTGTAATTGCCCTGAGTCAGCAGAGCGCTCTGTCCATGCTATAAAGAATTATTTAGATAAATTTTCTGTTGCTTTTATTCCTGGAATAATCCAGGGTTTAAATCCAGGATGAATGCTGGAGGCCTACTGCAGGGGGGCTGAGTGGCAGGATCTTTATCCAATCTTTTAATCTGCCTCGATTTATAAAATTAAAGAGCATAAGCCGACCACATATAGTCTCTTTTTCCTTTAGTTAGGTATAAATACTTTGCTCAACAGGCTGCGAGGGACTCTGAAAGCACACACGTGACATCATGCAGTTATCCTGTTTCACCTTTATTTTTTGTTTTCAGTTTGTTCACACCAAACAGACAATGCGGTACAAATGTAATAGGCCTAATATGATTGTGTATTGTTATTGGTTATGATCATTTGCATGTTAGAATTGACCCTGAATAATACCTAGAGCTACAGGACGGGACAGAGCGTTTTATTTTGAGTGTTTTGAAACCAAGAAGTAGCCTAGTAATTATCTATATTATCCCATTTTGATTCTCTTTGTTTTCGAGGTAGCCTATTAGACTAGGTCCATCTGTACATTTTACTAACTCGCCAATAAATAATTAGGTCAGAGCAGAGCTGTATCCCATTGCACTTCTATCCTTGCACGATCAGATTATAAAGGGCCTGGGGCAGATTAACACGCCGGGACGAACAGATGTACGGTAATTCTCGCCTTTGATGCTGGGAGGTAGAACATGCAACAAGATGCTGATAATAATTATTTGGTTTTATCCTCAAATAATGGCCTCCGGCTTCGGAGACAGAGCAAATAAAGTGTACCAGGCATTTAATTTGACCCTGTATTGAGAGTCAATCAAAGTCAGAGTGTGTTTGTCTGATGGGTGATGACAACTGCGTCTGATCCCTTGACCATGCACGCACGTTTACAAATTAACAGCTGGCTGGGAAGGCTCACTGTAAGCCCAACAACCTGACGGAGGATGCAGCAAAGTTTGAGCCCAAACTGGGAAATGAAATACTATTGCTTTAAATAACAGAAATTATCTCATTTCTCCTAAGGGATGGGATGGAATTGCCATCTTTGCACTCAAGTGTTGCAGCCTATTGCAGAACACAGCCTGCAGCCCTGTGAAGCTGCAGACATTAACTGGACATGCGGAATGGTCACTGCTTGGCTTTGATGGCAATAGTCTTTTATTTAAGACGTCTTTGCTCATTGAAATACAAGCAGCATGGCACGTTATTGGCCTGTAAGTGACAATGTAAGGCTGTACTATTCAGCTTGCTCTCCTCCTCCTCCTCGATTACTGTAACTAAAGCCCTCTCCATACAGTAAAACCCTGCAGCGCAGATTGCAATCGACAACTGGTTTCCAGATTAATAATCGACAGAAAATGAGGGTAAACACATGTCTTACGTTGCAGTGGCACGCCGAGGATCTCCGGTAAACTCTTTACTGGACTCTCTGTCGGTAGGACCGCCGCACTTTGCATCATCGTGATCCAAACCGGGAGACAAACGCACGCACATACACCCGCAACACGGTGGGCGCACTCCCCCGTCCTGTCTCTTGGAGAAAAAAAAAAGTATGATGGTGCTGATGTTGAGGCCTCTCTCCTCTCTGCAGGGTGAGCTCCCTCGCTGTCCCGTCAAGCCTCTATCCCTGTTATTCCTCTATTCCGGGGGATGGTGTCCGTGCCGTGCCGTGTTGAGCTGTTTTGGAGTGAATCAGACTGACTGCCCTGTCCATTCAACGCTGCAGGGGCGGCGGAGCCTGACGTCATCGCGGCGGAGGCTCACGAGGGGGCCAATAGGAGGGCAGGAAGAGGAGGCCCCCGGGGCGGAAAGCATCCTCCATAGGTGTACGAGCGAGGAGGAGAAAGCAGAGGGGGAGAGGCGTCTAACATGGTATATGAAAATGTCTCCGGAGAGGCGGGACCTTGTTCCTGTGGAGACCATAAATAGCTCACTGCAGTGGCTCCCGGAGGGGCCCCGGGCCAGCAGGGTTCCTTCTGGAGAGGAGAAGGTGGGGTCCCATGCAGCCAGGGAAATGTGAGGAACAGCTACATTTCACTTTTGTTTTTGGAATTAACAATAGGCCTAAGCCTTAAACAGACTTCTCTTCAGCATGCGCCAGATTATTTGGACAAAATGCAACACAAGGTTTTATAGATCAAACAGAATGTAGGATTGTTAGACACAGAACTATTTCATCAAATTAAACACATTTTTCTTTCTTGTTTCATTCAGCTAGAAGACATAGGCGATCTAGGATGAGATTGGCATGTAGCTGTAAGTATAAAAGGTGCATGTGCAGGCAAGCTGTCAACATGAAATGAAACCAATAATATTTCCCAAAAAAGTTCATTCACACGTTTTTCCTTAACACAACCCTCCTCAGTGTCTGTTTAAATATCTCTTCAGGGTGAAATGTGACAAATGAGTTGTCAATAACAGCTAAGGGAACAAAAGTGAACCCACAAAAGTGGTGTTATTGGACACATGTCTGAGTCAAATCCACAGCCCCTTCACCTGTGTGAGCTGTGCGTTTCCCTGGCAGCGTGGCAGCGCCTGTGTATCTCTCTCTCTCTCTCTCTCTCTCTCTCTCTCTCTCTCTCTCTCTCTCTCTCTCTTTCTCTGTCTCTCCCAGTGACAGGTAGGATTAGGAGTCTGGGCGCAGTCCTCCTGACACTGTTCATTTCAAACCCCATCGTCTGAGACTGCTCTCCCGGATAAGATATTCCCCCCGGAGGGCTGCTAGTTCAAGCTAGATGAACTCAATCTTCGCTTCCAATTTACTTCAAGCGTGGAAAGGAAAGCACACAGTGGCGCTTTCCCCATGGTCCGCCTCCAAACCAACGCAGGTTGTTTCCATCAACAGTGAGGCCGTCTGCAGGTCCCAGGTGAACGTGTGCAGCTCACACCAGCACACACCACACCTGCCCAGACACATCTGGATACACGGTCAACTGCAGCAACACCAGCGTATTTAATTTGAACAAGAAATTAAATTTCATGTTACGTGATCATACAATCAAAGTGGTTTTCAGCAATCTAAATGTTAGAATTATCCCTGTATAAATTCAGTGCATAGCATAATAATAATAATAATAATAATAATAATAATAATAATAATAATAATAATAATAATAATAATAAACAGAGGCTCTAGATTCAGTGTTGCCCTCAGAAAATCTAAGGTAAAACATGTTGTTTGCAGTGGAAAAATATTTACACCAAATAATGTTAGAAAATTTGTAATTTTATTAACAAAAAACAATAAGTGTACAAGAAGTGTGTATACAAATTACAACACAAACTGTGTGGCGTTGGAAACTGATATTCTGCACTGGGAAAGAAAACGGGGGTTTTGTGTGTGTCCAATTCCAACACGTAACGCAGCGCTGCCAACATTTTCTGTACTACATTATGCTGATTTAACATCGTATCCCTTCCCGTATAGGCCTATAGCCTATTTCCAACTATGGACTGTTTATTCTATTGTCGCACGCCGTTTATGTACTGTAGGGACCCACAATCCCATAAGCCGCTCGCCTGTGGGTAATGTTTTAAATGTAATTTAGTAAAACGAAAACGCACATCAAGCTGATTAAAAAAGGAGGCTGGGATATTACAGGAATTTTACCTATTCAAAGTTGCAGACTCCAGGCCAGGCAGGTGTCCCCTCCGTCCATCCATCCATCCATCCATCCATGGTGTGGGGCAAGGGAATCATCTGGTTTTACTTTATTTTCATTATACACTTTTCCCCTCAAGATTATTCAATTTATTCAACTATTCAATTACTGTGATTGTTAGTATCGAGGCCCTTTAGCTGCCCTGGAAAACAATGCAGATAAAAATGCTCTTAACCTGTCAGCAAAGGGCAATGCAATTAGAATAATTGACGGATGCAAAATGCAGAAAGGAAAAAGATGTGAGCCCGAAAACGATGTGACACTAAATGATGTGCGTTTTTTTCCACCGTTAAATGAGTTGGCAAAAAAAGTGGGAATGACAAGATGAATTGCAAAACAATGCACATCTGAAACTATTTATCTTGCACAAGATGAGCACAGCCAATATTTAAAAGATGAAGTGATAAATGAAAGATTCGGCTACAAAAATATATTTCTAATAACCACAAAAGATGCCCAGTTGTTTACTGCTATCCAACAGTCCCTCGCGCATGAATCAAATTTAACTTAATAACAAATCATCACCATGTTATATCCTTAAACAATGAACTCAGATACACAAAAAGGAAAACAGGGGAGGAAAAAATGAAATAATTGGAATAATGCAATTTCTGAGAGAGGTGAAATGACTTCTCTTTGTCTAGGCTATATGAAGGCGCTACAGAGGAAGCAGCTCTCGGGCAATAATTCAAGCTGAGGGCAACTCCTTTGCCACAGCCGTTGACCCAGCTACTTCTAATTAGATATAATATTTCAGTGGACGAGTTCATTGACATCTGCGATTCACAGATCCATCTTACTGAGCCGGGAGTCAGAAACACAGAAACAAGTCCACGTGTAGTGTGAGCAGGCTTATGTGGAGCATAATACAGGTGTGAAACAGTATGAGTGTCTCTGCGTACTGTCGTATATACAACTCTGCGGCAGGCCTGCTTTATGATGAGCCAAAACATCAAATGTTTGATGGATATGAATTTATTATTTTATGTGTGTAAACACAGGATGTGTGCATTCCTCTTCTGAACATTATTTCCAGTGTTGCAGAGTTCAATCTCACTCACAAACACACACACAAAACATCACATGAGCACTAGAGCAAATGCACCTTACAAACGGTGACAACACCAAATGAAGGACGTCAATAGCACGTTCACTTTTGTGTGTGGAAATGGCTGCAAAACAGCACTCACAATTCACTGTAATGGCTGTGATCAATATAGAAACAAAATGCATTACATCTCAGCGACTTAACTTCAGGGAAGATGCACATTTTAGACAGCTGTAGATGTCCTCTATGTTTGCAAGACGAACATATCACCGTGCAGACCTACCTAATCACCGCAGCTCGCAGACTGTCTCCTCTCTCCTCCTCCTCCTCCTCCTCCTCCTCCACCTCTTCTTCTCCTCCATGCCGCTGAGTTTTGCTTTTTCAGCATGAGCCAAAGCTCGCACAGAAACGGCAGCAGTCGGTCCGCACTTTCTCCGGCATCCACTGACAAGACAAACATCAGGTTGCGATGGCACCGTTTCCCGAGCCATTTGGTCCGGAAGCAGGAGAGGAACAGAGAGAGGGAGAGAGGCAGAAAGCGCGGGGGAAACCTTAGGAGAGAGCACGGAAGGGAGAAAATTAAATTGCACTTCGGGGACAAATTCTATTAGGGAATAGTTATTGTCTCCTGACAGCTCCTGTCCATTTGGGTAATTAGTAAAAGAGATTGGTTGAACAAACGAAATCTATTCTCGTCAGAAATGATATTTTCCAATTCCCTGATTGAACCTGACCCTGTCGCACTAAGACGAGGCGGTAATAGGCTCATTTGACTCAAATAACTAGTAGGCTACAGCAGTCCAAGTCCGGGCCAAGCCTGCCCGACGAAAGACTTGATTGGGATTTTAAATATCACCGGAGTGTTATTATTTGCTGTTTCGATTTGTTTTCGAGACACACTGGCGATGCTTATAGAGGCTTCACTTGTCACAAACATTACCGGCGGAGAGATTTTGGCAATTATTAAATTATTTGTTATTTAATTTGATATGAGGAAACAATACAATAATTTATAGCACAAGAAAACTGCTATTTTTCGCAGAGGAGATGTTGAAATACTGTGGCTCGGTATTCACAAATAGCCTAAGGTGTAAGGTTCACCAGACTGCAGAACCCAGATGACCCCTTACACTAAAATCAAGACGTGCACTGACAACCTCTTGAGGTATTTTTTTGAATCTCTCACAGCAAAGAATACATGATTCAGTATATCCAGTTTAATTTGAAGTCCTGTGATTTACTGGCACCTGCCCAAAGTGTCCCCCTACCTGCAGGCTGCCTAATGCATGCTAGACTCCAGACTCTCATCACCTCCTGACATTAATCAGATTAGCATGCAAATGAATAAAGAATCTAATCCTGGATCCAAAACTTTATGCACAAAATACCAGTAGGGGTTTGCATACAACTCTCCAAACCAACAGTTGTTTGTGTGTTTTTCTGTCAGAGGTTGATGTGATGAAGAGAAAAACTTTCATTTTTAGTGTGTTGCTAATTCAGTTTGCTTTCTCAGAGGACTGACCCAGACACAATATACAGTGCATCTCAATTAAAACTTGCTATGAAATTAAATGAAATATAAAACTTAAAAATTAAATCATTAAGCGCCATATTTTGCTTTTTACATTTAAGATAAGGATTATATTTAGATGACCAGAAGGCCCTTTTATTGCTAACAAATGACATTAAACCAGACAGAGATTTTAAGACAGATTTTCTTTTGTGAAAAGCAAGGAATGAATCTTCCCAC